GTATAGTAAAAATTTGGACGGACCACATTGACATAATTCTGAATGGAGGTGACTCTTGTTCGGAATTGATGGTCGTATGGTAATATGAAAATATTTCCATAGTGGGAGTTGGTTATTGAAATCTACATGTGAGCTAGAAACCTTAACGCAAGGAAGGTGTTCAAGGAGTTACCTTGAATTTGATACTTCATCACCATGAAATTGTTTTAGTAACAAAGTTTCAATGGAGCATTTTGTGACATTGTTGGCTAAGTCTCGGTGACTTTGACGCCACGTCATCACAAAAGGATATTGCATGCAAGGTTAGACTCTAACACATGTAGTGGTAACAAGAATTTGGAACTCTTACACTTGTAATAAGGATTTGAAATTGTGAAATAAGCATCGTTGGAATTATGTCCAATTGATCTGCTCACAAAGGAAGACCCATAGAGAGACATAGTATGCATGTTTATAACATGGCATGAATGATGTTTAATTCAAGCATTTAGTTGATTAATCGAAACATTATATAATTAATAAAGTCTAATTAATATGGTGATTAAATAATAAGTGTTTTGTTTATATTAAATAGTTTTGAGACCATAGTTAATTAGGTTATTATTGTGTTTCATTTCACATGTTTTACTTCCCGAATAATTGGATTATTCAAACATCCACAGTCGATCATACTTTTGGAAGTAAGTAGTGAATTAAGACTGTCATGAATCAAACTGTATATTGTCTAAGGGTTTAGACATAGCAATGGTTTGATGCAATATTCATGAGTACTTTTGAAATAGGGATTTAAGTATTGGATAAACCCACGCTCAGAGAATTACTTCATGGATTTTATCACGAGTAATTTTGAGATGATAATATCTTATATTCTTGAAACAAAGATATATGATTTGTTGTCTACGATTCAATTGTGCATTGATAATACGTAAACACATCAGTAACTTGATGTTATAAAACGTATTGTTGTGCGTGATTTGACGAGTGAATAGTGCAAGCATATAAGTCGAAGTTTATCCGTTTCTTTTACCCTGAAGGGAAAAGCAAAATCTGTGGGCCCCTCGATGATTTGATGATGACATCTAAAGCGCTTGGCCAAGCCTGGACTGAATTGATGTGTTCAACTAGCAGTCTGATATCAGTCGTCATAAATCAGAATTCGGGAAACAAATATTGGACAGAGAGATTGATTATAATCCATGTCTCATGTCCATACGATATCTTGTAGAACGGAGGAATATTTGATCACTTATCTAAGGACACGTTACTGACTAGGTCAGAGTTCGACAACGGCTTTTGGTAGCTAAAATTTCCTAGTCGATTTAGTAGTTATACTGGCAGTTATAGTTATTAGACTTATCCAAGTGGGTGACTGTTGGATTAGGTGTCTAAGCCCATAATCAATCTCTCTAGAGGAGCGACACTTGTGGGGCTTGCTACCAAAGGTCTTTCAAACAAGGATTCAAGATTGTTTACAATAACAATCTAAAAGGTGTGTATCATAACCCTTCTTATGTGATTTTCGATTATTATCCATAGATCTAGGGTTTATACTTTGTTGTTCATTATTGTATGTTCAATTAGAGAAAACGTAGATCTTCAATTAGGGTTGCATGTACACATAGGATTGTATGTTTTGCTCAATACCCATCACAAACGCCATCTCCATCACCAAATTTGCCATACCCACCGCACATCCACCGTCTCTCTCACCACCGTTGGAGACTCATTTCACTTTTCTAGATCGGTGGAGACTTCTTTCTCTGAATCTGATGGTTTTTGCATCAATAGACCAGAAGTGCTATAGAGGAATAGATTAAAAACAAAACCCACAAATTTTGTTCTTGTTTTTTTATTTTCCCTCTTTTTTTCTCGACTGCTGGAAGGAATCAGGAAGACACATAGAACTTTACCAAACTTGGATATCGATTGAGGATGACAGCAACAGGGGGATTAATTGAGAACTTTAGCAATCGATTTCTAGGTTTGTTCAAGAATTTCTTTACCATAAAATTTGGGTTTTATGATCAGATTATGAAGAGAGAGAGAGAGAGGGAGAGAGAGAGAGAGAGAGAGAGAGAGAGAGAGAGAGAGAAGATGTGAGGAAGAAGAAAGACGGTGAAGGATTGGGGATGGGGCGAAGTGGGTGTCTATTTATTTTTTATTTTTTAAATAAAACTACATAAAATAAAAAGGAAAATGAAATTGAAAAATGGTATAATAGTAATTTCAGTTCAAATTTGTAACAAAACAAAACCACAAGGATCAATCATGACAAGTTTTAAAAAGCATAAGGACCATGTTCGTCAAAAAAAAATTAGCAGGGTGTAACATTTGTTTTCCAAAATAGATCAGTTGAGGACTTGAGGGATCAATGGTAAGGTTTTTGGAATAAAAAACCTTGTAACACGACATGGTGAATGGAGTACCACGGTGTGGCATGGCAACTTCAAGAACGCGCATCTAATGGCCGTCACGATGTGGCAAGAGGGATGCCACGACGTGGCAGATGCTACAGCCCAAGCCTATGATTTTAGGGTTTCTTCCATATTTAAGCAACTAAACTTAAGGATTAGGGCATCGTCTTCAGCCTCCAACCCTTCAACATGAAACCCTAGCCTTCATGGATGCATAAGAGCTTGTTTGCTTGATTGAAGACCTTTTTTCTTTGATTTTTGTGAAGCTTGAGGAATGAGGAAGATCATTTTGGTGCAACGGAGCAAAGAACCAACTTGGATCCATCTTCTTCAGATTTCTGAGTTATTTGAGGTATAAAATTCATACATTGGCATTTCTTTTCCTAGATTCAAGTTTGGGATCATTTTGGGTGGTTGTGTCCCCTTCCATGGATGCTCTTGGAGTTTGAGGAACTCCAGAGCAGTGTTTTAAAAAATGGTTTGAACCGGCCGGTCGAACTGGTTGGACCGGGAACCGGAGAAGAGAGCGGTTCAACTATCACCGGTTTTACACCAATTTCTGAACTGGATTGAACCGGCCGGTTTTTAGAAAAAACCGGTTGAACCGGTCAAATAAACCGGTTGAACCAGTTAAACTAAATAAAAATACATGGAAAAAAACATTTTCAATAATAAATTTTGGTGGACTTTTTCACATCTATTTAGATTTCTCTAAATAAAAACATATGGTAAATGTTATGATGTTTTTTGATGCACTTGTATTCATTTAAAACTATATTTTGTTTCGGTATTATACTTTATTTTCTTTTTGACGTATGTGAATTGATGTAAAACTTATAGTTATGTGTTGTTTTAATGTATTTATATTGATCTACAACTTTTTTTATGTGTATTTTTAATGTTTGAACTTGTAGACGTCAAATTCATGATTTATGTATGTATGTGTAGAAAAATAAGAAAAAAAAATGAAAATTATAGAAACCGGTTGACTCGGCGGTCGAACCGGTTAAAACGGGAACCATTCGCCATACCGGTTCAACTAAAAGGCCGGTTTTTAAAACATTGCTCTAGAGCTTGTTATGGTTCTCTTATGGTCTCTAGGCTTTTGATGAATAAGAAAAAGAGTCATGTTTGGAGTACATTGTGTTCATGCATAAGTTTTAGCTTCATTAAGGACTTAATGGACTTAGGGTTGTATATATTGCCTTGTGGTGGAGTCCTAATGGATAAAGTTGGAAACTTTATCAACTAAGTCATTGAAAAGGACCAGATCTGAAATTATGGGTTTAGATCTGTAAGGATTAAACTCTTAATGAAAAATATGACTTTCTGCCAGGAACCACGACGTAGCCAAGGGCTTGCCACAGCGTGGTGGTGTCTTGCATGTCAACTGTTTTGTCCTAGCATGCTCACGACATGGCCAAAAGGTTTCCACATCGTGGTGAGTGTTGATTTGGTTGACCGTTGACTTTTGTTGATCGTTGACCTTTGACTTTTGACCAGTTTGACTTTGGGTCAAACTTGAAGGACTTGGGTTATTGATTAAAGACTTATCTTTGTTTGGTGCTAGTCGGTTCACAGGAGTGACTGGTTCAGGGAGTGAGGGTGTTGTTGGGCTTCCTTGGGTCTTCGATTCATGTGAGTTTCCTCAATATACTATGTGTTATAGTGTATATCCTTATATGATAGGATATATGAGTAGTGGCATGCTGGTTAGAGTACAAGGAGGTCGGTGATCATCTAGTTGGGTGCCCTAGGGGTTGTATGTAGTCATGTAGGATAGTCTGAGAACTCTTGATTAAGACGTTCTTGCATGTTCCTTGTTTGGTTGTGGCTCTAGAATGAGATCACCTGTTCGACTGTCTATCTTACCTCTGATTATATATAGTTATGCATTCATTGATGATCTACTAGTTGTGGGGTAGTATGTTGTATGAGATCCTATATGCGACAGTGAGTCTTCTCACTGTGTTACCTATATTAAAGGCCTATATTCTAGTAGTGAATATTCAGAGAGACACAATATTTAGGTCATTGAATGACCACTTCTTTGTAAACTCTCTTTTTGTATTATAATGCTAATTTCAACTTTAATAAGTTATTGGGGGGTGTTATTTATGACTGAATAGTAAAATTTGTAGGTGTCGAATAAACATGCTACAAGTATGTTTTTTGACTTGTAAAATGGGTTGAGATTGAATGAGATTTAGGTTTTAGAAAGGGTAAAACCATTGAATAAATTAACATGCAACAAGTATGTTTTTTTGACTTGTAAAATGAATTGTTTTTCTCTATTAGAATTTACAGAGAAGAGATTTTTTTTGAAATTGAATATAAGATTTAGTTTATAATACAAAAGAAACAAAACAACTATATTTAATAAACCTAAAAGAAGAGGATATAGACTAAGAGGAAACTAAATGCAATTAAGGAAAGTGCAACACAAGAAAGTTTTTGTTTTTATTTTTCTTGGAGCAGCATCAACCAAGAACAGTTTTTAATTTTTCAAAGGAAAGTGTAATTTAAACCTATATGAATACAAACATTCACATAAACATTAAAATGCAATTCTTTTTGGTGCATCTACTATGGCTCACAATCAATTAGAACTTGGACAACCGAATCCATTGTAGGCCTTTTATTTCTGTCTTCCTCCACACAACTTACACCAATCTCAACAAGTTTTGCAGCCTGCTTCCTACTAAACACCCCTCCCAACCTTGAATCAATAATCTCTTCAATCCATGACTCCATTTCTTCTCCTTGAAGCTTCGTTTTCGTTACCCTTACAACCCTCATAAGCTCCGACTCTTGCTCTTCACCTTCCTGCATAATCATATTAGAAAGACGAATTCCCCTTGCCATTTCTAAAACCAAAACCCCATAGCTGTAGACATCAACTTTTGCTGTGATAGGAAGGTTGCTAGCCCATTCTGGAGCCATATATCCTTTTGTACCCCTCATTTTAGTAAACTCCGAGTTTTGACCACCTCTTTGAGACAACTTTGCCAAACCAAAATCTGCAATCTTTGCTTCGAACGACTCATCTAAAAGAATATTTTCTGGCTTAACATCACAATGAATCACCCATTCTAGGCATTCATGGTGTAAATAAGCCAAACCTTTTGCTATCCCGATGGCAACTTTAAGCCTTTCTTTCCATTGAAGAACACTCGAGGAGAACAATCTTTTGTCAAGAGATTGATTTTCTACATATTCATAAACTAGAAGTTTGTGTTTTCTCTGAGAGCAGAATCCCCACATTCGCACTAGATTCATGTGATTGATTTTACCAATGGTGCTGACTTCTGTCCAAAACTCTCCACCTTCTTCGCTAACATCTCCCAGTCTTTTCACAGCCACCACCCTTTCGTCTTCCAGAATCCCTTTATACACAACTCCTGATCCTCCTCGGCCTATCTCCAACTTAAAGTTCTGTGTCGCCTTCAACAGCTCTCTATAACTAAACCCTCTAAATTGACTAGATACCATACGATACCCTTCTTCAAGGTTGTTTAGCAATGCGTTGTTTCCATAAAATATCCACCAGCCCAATAAGATGACCAAAGCTTCAACTAAACCTATAGCTAAAGCAAAGGAGTAAAGATAAACCCATTTCACCTTCCCACCAGATGATTTATACATAGATGGAGAACCCAGCGTGACTAGAGCGTCTGCACATGTGGCCTTTGAACCAGTAAGGATTGAAGCAGCTTCGGGTGTTTCCATGCCTATTGGGACTTTGAAGTAGGTGGTTCCTGGGAAATTAGGCTTTTGGTAACCGTTAAAAAGAACATTTTTAGTAAAACAAAGACCTGCACCTGTTAGCCTATAATTAAATGCTTCACAACGAGAATCTTTCAAGCAGATGTCTCTACACGATTCGAAGGAAATGGTTGATGAGTAATTTAGATCAAAGCCATAGTAATCAGTATACCACATTGGCAAAAACTCAAACCTCGTTGAGTTTTCACTCGTAGCATTGAATGTAGGTTTACAACCACGGCTTAAATCAGTAGGGTCACTCCACTCATGGCCAGCTGGGCATGAACACGATGGTGGTTTGTCTCCGTAAACACAAATCCCGTTTCTCCCACAGATTCCATGAACATCACATGGTTGTGCAATAGCTTGCCATGAGATCGACCATAACCCAGTTGACTCGTTCAAGCTATAAAGTCTGAGATTCCCATCATAGTCCATGGTGAGCCTCCTTCTGATCCCCAAACCCATATCTGAAGCATTAAATTGCCACCCATCGCTTGAATTAAACACACCCAAATCGTTAAAGACTGCGAATCTGCTACTATTATAGGAGGTTCTTCCAACAGACCACACGTTAAATCCAGGAAGAGGACTAGGCCAGTACACACTTGAAATTTCTGGGCCATCATAAAGCAGTATTAAAACATTATTACTGTTATAACTCAAACTAAAATACCCAGCTTGTAAACTTCCTTTTCTCAAGGAAGATATTAAGCTTTTGCTCTTTGTTAACGTTTGAGAAGGCAAAAGAGTATCGGTTGGATAATCAAAGCTTTGCCAAAGAATCTCACCTTTCTTGTTCATCAATACCAGATTACCTGTATTAAGCAGCACTGCTCTATCTACATCGGTGGATGTTGTGTTGGTCTGCCAAACAAACATGTCATTTACATCGGTCAAAACCATGGCACCGTTTTTCTGAAGTGTCAATTTTGAGCCATGGCCGTTGACAGGTTTGTTGCGGTTTGCAGTCCAAACCACGGTTCGGTCTCTGGAATTTGTAAACCAGATTGCAAACCAGTAAGCATTGGTTTGAAGGCCATAGAAGCCACATGCAAACGTGTTGTCAGGGGAGGTTATGATGTGTGAGCCATCACCAACAGATAGAGACGAGCCTCTACGAAGATGATCCTGAAGAGTGTTCTTTGATGATGAACATTTCATCAAGCAGCAAAAGAGGAAGAGAAATACTCTTTTGTTCATGTTTATGTATGTATGTGATCAAAGTTTAAATAAAAATAAAGAATATAGTTTGAGAGAGTAATAGTATTGAAATGTAACTTTTGACATGTAAAAGCTTACACCATACTTTGTATATATATTACAAGCGTAGGCCATTTCGGGAAGCGACCGTAGATCGAGTTGTTAATTTGTGCAAATTGACGATTGACTTAAAGATTTATGGAGTATAATTCGGTTCAAATTGAAGACAGTTATTATGTCCACATATATATCACTTATTATGACGTCAATATTTAGGCGTGGTTCGTACTCTATCTAATTAAATGTGAAAGAGGAAGATGAAAGAAGAAGTTGTAATGAAATAGACTTGTTTTCAGGAAATTGACCTCGATTTAGATATGGAATGTTCTTCAGTTAATATAATAATATTTAAGAACATTCTTATGTCTACATATGAGTTTAATTTGTAGGACTTAGATACTCGTCATGATTGGTACGCTATCTTATTTAATTTCTACATATCGGCTATGAATTACCCTTCCAGCTGATTAAAAAAGTGTCCACTTCATCGTTTGCAAAATAAAAAAAAATAATAAAAAAAAAAACAGTTACGACAACTGTACTATTGATAAAGTAATTTGGAAAAAATAAACGTGTATCCCATCTAATAAAACATAAATGTAATTTACTGATGTAAATTTGTTCTTGTAAGAAAACTCGTGTAGTATCGATGTAAATTTACTCATGTATCCATTTTGTAGCTTTATTTCATAAAAGTACATTGCATATAGGCTTAAAGTCATGCATTTTGCATGTTTTTCGGGATTTTTCATGAGGCAATTTCATTCAAATACTTTTGTGATATTTCAGGGACTTTTGGAGGTAGGATATTGTTGGAGGAGGTAAATAAAAGTTGCGGACAAAATTTCAGGACTTGCGGAGCACCGAGGAGCAAGATATCAAAGAAATGAAGATTTTGGCTTTACAGACGTTTACACGGCCGTGTAAATAGAAGCCTTGCGTTTACACGGCCGTGTAAACGTAGATTTCTACACAGTGTATTTTTGCGTTTACGCGGGCGCGTAAACGACAGTGTTAATTTACGCGGGCCGTGTAAACGTAAATGCGGGTTTTAAAGCAGTTTTTCACCATTCTTAAAGGGGAAAACCAATTTTTTTAAGAGGGGGTCGACTTTTGGAGTAGAGAAGGCGATTTTCTTGAGGATTTTGAAGTTGATTAACACTTGGGAACATTTGATTTCATTTTGTAAGAACTTTAATTTCATTTTCTAGATTTGTGATCTTGTTCTAGTCATGAGTGGCTAGAACCCTAGATTCTCCAACTTTATGTCTTGACTTCTAGTTGTGATTTCAATCATATGACTTGATGTTTTCTTTCAATTTTCTATCTAGTAATTTGATTTTGTTTCAATCGAATGTTTGATTCTAATTGTGATTCTTATTGGCCATTTGAATTAGGGTTAGATCATTCAAGTTATCTAATTGCAAAATCCGTAATTGCTTTGTAAATTGGACTAGTTAACAAGCACTAAACTGATTTCTATTGAATGAATTTAGTGTAAATGTTATTCACACATTCTTATGCTCCCGAGCTTATGAGGAGTATTGAGTGTTGTTGAGAACATTCACATAAAGTTTAATGCAATCTTTCAACCTAATTCTAAGAGTTTGTTTAGATTAGATTGGTAAGGTTAGGATTAATCAAAGAGCTTGTTTTGGTTAATTATTGTGGTGAATGGGAAGTGTTAGAGCTTGTTAACACTTTCAAGTACCAACTTAGATAGAATTAAACAAATATCTTGTCATCCATGGAATCACATTGCTAATTTGTCTTGCATAGAGTTGGAGTACTTACAAATCTTGAACTTATTTCACTTAATCAATCATTTACTTATTGCTTTATTCTATAGTTTAAATCATTGCTTATAAATTCCCCCCATCCTGTGACCATTTTTGTACCTTACGCAAAAAGGTATAAACACTTGTCCCGTGTCTCTGTGGATCGACCCTACTTACCTTGTACTACGTTTTTAGTGCATAGTAGTAGTGTTTAAGGAGTCATTTGTACCCTTTATTTGTTGGGTTTGACACGCCTAACAAATTGGCGCCGTTGTCGGGGACACGGTGTTACTAATTGTTTATGCCAAGCATTTTGTGAGCAGGTGTTTTTAAAAAAAAGAAAAGAAAAGTCAGGTAGAAGATAAGTTTTCAATTGAAGGAAGTGGCGAGAAGGTTAATGTGTTGTAAAGGCCCACCTACTTAGAACAAAGCACATTCAGGGGCCAGGTCGAGCCAACGACTTAAAACAAGGGCAGCTAACCGGGAGGCAACCCGGAGTTTTTTTTTTTTTTTTTTCTTTTTTCTTTCTTTTAAAACTTTTTAGTCTTTGGTAAATTTCAATTTTTTTTAATGTCCCAAATGGTTTTAAACTTATTTTTTATGCCTAGATATTGAATCTCCGGCTCCAAAAATACTTCACGAATAGCTTGGGGAGGATGAAGAGGAGGTTCACACAACAATTGCGAGGCTCCAAGAACGATTCGGTAAATTCTTTCCATATCTTTAATCGTTCATATTTTACTTAAAATTCAATTGGTGTGCATTTGTGACTGTTTTGGACTCATTCCCAACCCATCTACCATCCTCCACCACCCCTGATAATTAGATGGTTTAGCTCTCTCCAAGCATCGAGGACAATGTTTATTTTAAGCTTGAGGAGGGGAATCCATCCATGCATAAATTCCGTTGCATGTAGGTTGCATTAATTTTGTACATATTGCATTAATTTTTATTTTCTTGTTCATTTTTCTGCATAGAAAATTTTTCAAAAACCAAAAATATTTTCTTTCTATTCTAATTTTTATTATTTTCTTTGCATTTTGTTTGCATCCAAATTTTTGCATTGCATTCTTTGAAGAAAAAAAAAACAATTGATCCAATCCCAAGCAACCGAATCTTTTCAAAACAGTTGAGCTGGTAAATGAGTCATGTGCCTTGAAATTGGCTTGCTCTTTTTATTGAAAAATCTAAAAGCAAGTTAATCACACACGAACACACCTCCCGAAGCTACTTGTGCAAAACAGAAAGTGAGAAGATTGTCAACATTGGAGCATAACAGCAGGTATGAGTTAATTCTTTGGGACATATGACTAGTCTTATGAGTAGTAAGTGCTCAATTGAACTTAAAATGTCAAATAAATGAAAAAAAAAGAATGCAAAATTTCAATGTCCCGAGCCTTCCAGCGCTCTAAAAAGTCCTTTCTACTCATTCCCTTTTATATACCCTGCTTGGGGACATAACTTTCAACTATACTTACGGGTCTTTGCATGTTAACCTTTAGTCCCCTGAAAAATGTCTTAGAAGTCCTCACGGTAATAGACCGTGAGATGTCCCACAATAGAAAAGTCAAGGACGAAAATATAAAGAAATTGGCCAAATAAATAAATAAATTAATAAGAGTGTTATGTGTTAAATTAGTTATTTGTATTTGTGATACTTGAAAAAAAAAAAAAAAAAAAAAAAAAAAAAACTATTATTAAGTTAATCTGTGACCTTTGGGATTCGAACAAGTAAACTCTGAGGGGTGTTTTACATCTAATCGCCTAAAGCTAAATTGTTTGGGACTGATTGAGTTGAAAATTCGTTATATGGGTTCCATAGAAAGTCATGAACTTAATAATAGCAAATAAAGCTAATCTGTGGCCTTTGAGGTTCGGGCAAGTAAACCCGAGGGATCTCTTTAAATCTAGCACACTAAGGTCATTTGATTTGGATGTGTTGGTTGGAAGCCCGTTACACGGATTTCAAAGAAAGCCATGAGCTTTATTTGTAAAAAAATATAATTAAGAAGTTTGTATATAATTGTGTTTATAGTTTAATTGAATATTGTGTTTAGGAAAAATACTTGGCTGTCAAAAGATTCCCTTGGACTTGGATTTGAACTTATGACATTGGACTGAATGTTAATTACTTTGACTGGTGCAAGTGGTTTGAAGTTTGTAACCAATCTGGATAAATATTAGGGAATTTTTAGAAAAGATTTTTCAGAAAAAGATTGTTGTTGATCAACAAATAGCTGGAATCGGGCATTGTTATATTTTATGAAACAAAGATGGTTGAGCATGTTTTGTCACATATAATTTCACGAGAGTAAGACCATAATTTGTTCCAAGAATTCACTTGATGATACTGAAAAGGCATTAGTGTTGTGATCTTTGATTCTGTTGAGTTGTATTAGGGAGTGGCCAAAGTCTTATTTCTATTATCATATAATATTTTGAGACTAAAGCCAAGTTGACTCAAGGCATAACAGGTACATTCTCAACTATGGTACAAAACAGGGTTAATTGGGTTGGATCTTTTCATGTTTGTTTTGATTTCATGCATTAAGTTTCAAATAGTTTTAACTTTAATTTTCTTTTCTTCTATTCTATTTTATTTTCTCTAGTTTAAATCTTCTTGTTCTTTCTTGAGGACAAGAAAGGTTTAAGCTTGGGGAGATTTGTTAGGTGCATTTCATGTACCCATTTTGTAGCTTTATTTCATAAAAGTACATTGCATATAGGCTTAAAGTCATGCATTTTGCATGTTTTTCGGGATTTTTCATGAGGCAATTTCATTCAAATACTTTTGTGATATTTCAGGGACTTTTGGAGGTAGGATATTGTTGGAGGAGGTAAATAAAAGTTGCGGACAAAATTTCAGGACTTGCGGAGCACCGAGGAGCAAGATATCAAAGAAATGAAGATTTTGGCTTTACAGACGTTTACACGGCCGTGTAAATAGAAGCCTTGCGTTTACACGGCCGTGTAAACGTAGATTTCTACACAGTGTATTTTTGCGTTTACGCGGGCGCGTAAACGACAGTGTTAATTTACGCGGGCCGTGTAAACGTAAATGCGGGTTTTAAAGCAGTTTTTCACCATTCTTAAAGGGGAAAACCAATTTTTTTAAGAGGGGGT